ATCCGTTGTGGTATACTATAATGTATACCCATTGCCCTTTCATAACATAATATATCAGGTAGCATAGGAATGACTGACGTATGTTTACAGCAATATAATTTGTTTTGTTAATTACCGAGGTATCAGATAAACTTGACAATTTCAAACCAATTCCACTCTATTAAGCAACTTTTATAAAGCATTGACCTTTTAACACTGTTGTCTTTTAAATCTTTAATGTTTTGTTAAAAAAAAATTTTCGTAATTATATTTTACCCCACATAGCTTCTACTTATCTCTGAATGACATTTAGTTCACATTTACAAAAGATACGATTAAAATGAAATAAGTTATCAGATCTAAAGCCAATTTCATTTTTTTCAAACTTGATAAAAGGAAATGAACAAGACGTCAAAAATATAATAGTCAGGTTTTATCACCACCAGCAACATGACAAAATAAAAAACAAAAACAACAAAAAACAAATAAACAAAAAAAACAAAAAAAAAACCATAAAGACGGAAAACTCGATCGGATGAGGCGAACTTTAGTTTTCTTGCTAAAAACCCCAAAAAGTCTTTTTAAATAATAAAAAAGGAAATTCGATAGATAAACTTCCTGGAACTGTGATGGTAAAAGCTGCAAATTTTCACCTTGATAATATTTAAAAACTGTGCGATGAAGTTTATCGACAGGTTGTTAGTATTCCTATTGGACCTATTGTGGTCCTTGTTCAAAGACTTGTTTCTGCAATGCTATGCTATTGTTATTGTTAACACATTAATTTCATTAATCAAGAATGTTCTAATTTTACTGCGGAAATTTACCAAAGGGATATGACTTAAGTAAATAAAATACGGACAACAAAAAATGTTGTTTTTTTTTTTCAAGATTTCGATATTTTAAGTTTCACTCGGGAAACTTTATACAAAAATTTAGGACAAATGAGACGATTTTTTGTTTCTTATTGTTAATTTTCTCATTTTAAACGGTAATGTTCCTTTGTTTTCTTCTTACGGTGTGTTTATTTCACAATTTATTCGCTATGCCCGTGACTGTAAACACGTTTTATTTCTTCGTGTTGCTTAGTCTTTGGTTTTCTATGTTGTGTCATCTGTACTATTATTTGTCTGTTTGTCTTTTTATTTTTGGCCATGGCGTTGTCAGTTTGTTTTCGATCTATGAGTTTTACTGTCCCTCTGGTATCTTTCGTCCCTCTTTTAGTATTATTTTATATTAGATTTCAATGAACGTAATTTATGTATGACTGTTAACTTATTAAGTCAGTGATTTCATTACCACAAATTGATAAAAACTTTTAATGAATTCTTTCATAGATACGAAGAATTGGTTAGGAATTTTGGCTGAATTCTTATCATCGAAATTATAAATAACTACAATACTCACATTGCTTTTGTTTTTTATACATTCAACCATAACTAAATATTTATTGCGATATGCGTACGGTTCTTGATTACTCATGATCCTACTTGCTGTCGATAATGATAACGTTTATTTGTGCATTGCACCATGTCATGTTTTTCAGTCTGTTTTAGGCGTCTTCAGACTAAATCCGTTGGATGTGTACTTTAGTCTGTGAAAGCATAATTTATCATTTTTGTTGTAATTGGATTTGAACTATAGCTAGCTTCCAGTGACTGATAGTACTTTTATCTCGGTTCTTTTTTGTCTATTTGTTTATTTTATTTGGTTTATTTGTGCTTCGCTCCGATTTATTGAGATAAGTGTTTGTAGTTGGTCTATGTCTGTCATAATTGTTTTTCATAAATTGTAATATAGAAAATTAGGATGTTAGTTTTCTAATTTGAATTATATCATCTTTTCCATGTCGGAGCCATTTATACTGATTATACGGTATGAGTTGTTTCTAATGGCTGAATGACGTATACAAAAATGCCACGTTAAAAAATTGCTGACCATGTTGCTTTGGATCTTTTTTATATAAATAAGTCTAAAATGTTACATATTTCGCAAGTCGGTTTCATTCCTTTAATTTTAGAAATTGACAGTATGTGCAAGACGAGATCTATTTGTTCGGCAACCAATCTACCTCCCAAATGCTTCTCTACAAAAAGATTGATTGTACAACTTTGCTTTATATATACCTTCCAAAACTCCTCAAATCGGCGTTTGATCAGATAGCAAATTTTAAAATGAAGATTTGAGCATTCTGAACTTCTTTTCACAGAAAAGAGAGTTTACAATCTATAACACTGATTCGTCCAGAGTCTCGGTCAGTGTTAATTAAATGAAAGATCTATTTTGCAAAGAACAAAAACAAAGAGCTACTATACAACCACTGATGATGTTATTGACAGAACAGACATCTTACATTTGACGGACCGTTTGATTTGGTGTTCCTCCCAAACACCTATTTATTTCTGATCTTAGTCAAAAAATTAACAACTGGTGCAGAAAAGAGTGTACTCCAAAAATTTTGTCATATTATATAAAATTATTGATCATTATTGATTGATTGGTGGTTGATTAATTGTTGTTACCTGAAAAACATTTCATGCATATTCATGACGAAAATTAGTTACCAATTCACACAATATATACGTTCAACAGTTTAGGTCTACTATAATTAAAGACGTCTACATACAGACCTCTCAAAGAATATTTGCAAGGGTTTCTTAACCTGAAGAGAAAGGGGTACTATCGCATAATGAGACACTGGATTTAAATACGACATCAATAATACGTCAAAGATTCATATAACATATTTCTTATAAATCTATTTTGCCAGCAAAATACTCAAATTCAAAGACAGCAAAATAAATTGAAGATTCACTACAACTATTTCATGTCTGTTAATAACGACTGTTGTCTCAATATGATGACTTTAAAACCATTGAACACTTTATATAACAAAGAAGTCCACAGTTGTACTCTTAATAAATTCATATCAATTTTCATTTTTTTTTAAATTATCTGGGCTTCAATGAGAATGTAGATTATTCATATGGTTTCCGCTGCTGTTTGCATATAAAGATTATATTTCAGCTTGGTCAGATCGCAATCGACTTTATGTAAGTGCTATTTCTCTCACCTTAGTAGCAATATACCAACTTCACCTGCATATGGGATATACATTTCCCAACTTATTCGGTATACTAGGGCATGCAGAAACTACTCAGACTTTGTAAAACGTCATCAGTGTTTGAGCAGAAAGTTGATGAACCAGGGGTATGTCAAAGAACGTCTCGTCCTTTTTCTAAAAAAAGTTCATCGAAAGGTACCAAGACCTTGTTGATAAATATTCCGTATCAACTTCACAAATTATACACGATGACCTTGAAGTATAGATTCTGGGTACTGACTTTGTTTATCATCTTAATAACGTGTTATAGTATTCTTTTATTTGTCTTTATGAATATTACTTTTACTGTTTGGTCTTTTTTAGTGGTATTCATTTGACGTGGCTCTCTACTTATACATCCCGTCATTGTGTTATTGTACTATGACAATTTTTGTATGATTGTCTTTCATTTTTGCTAATGTGCTTTGTCTATCTACCCTTTTGTGTTTCTTTGTAACATATGACGTGGCTCTGTACTTATACATCCCGTCATTGTGTTTTTGTGCCATGGTAAATGTTTGTTTACATATTTCTTTGTTTTTATAGTGATTAAGATAATAACACAATGTTGACTGCTGTACCCCTATTTTTTGACATTTTTACCTATTATGTCTGTTTGTTTTGTTCACACATCGTTGTTAATATAATGGAATTTTTATGCGACTGTCGTAAAAGTGAGAGGTTTAGCTAGCTATAAAACCAGATTTAATCCACCATTTTCTACATAAGACAATGCCTGTACCAAGTCAGGAATATGACAGTTGTTGTCCATTCGTTTGATGTGTTTGAGCTTTTGATTTTGCCTTTTAATTAGGGACTTTCCGTTTTGAATTTTCCTCGAAGTTCAGTATTTTTGTGATTTTACTTTTTTGTACATGTAAAAGATTTTCATTGATTTTGAAACATATTAAAATGCGAAAAATGTTTTGTAGTGTTCTTATAACAACTCGTTTTCAAACAGTAAGAGACTTTGCATAAATATTTGTCAACCCGAAATAAGTTAACAGATGTCTTGATATTCAATTGCACAAGGTCGATTTCTATCTGACGCTACTCATTTGTTTATACGGCTACCTGTCAATCGCTTTTCACATCTGCGCGTATTCTTCAGTTATCGTTTTACTTGTTTGCTCCTGGTATCGGCATAAACTTTTGAGGATAAGAAATTTCCTCTATCAATTTGTAGTAAATCATATTTTGTTTAATTGCGAATGTCATATAAACGAGAAAAGAAAGTAGGAAGGGTTATTGAAACCTTTAAAAAATATCCTACTTGTTTAATCATGTCACAGTTCCATAAAAGAAATGTCCGTTTCATAACTAAATACACCAGACGCGCGTTTCGTCTACGTAAGACTCATCAAAAACGCTAGTATTAGAACAGGTGCAAGACCAAATCATTTACATAGTTTCCTCTTGGTTTGTATTTTTGTTTGTATTTGTACATTCTAATATTGATTTGTTTGCTATTATGAGAAATTATGTGCTAAATACAGGTACCACGACAGCTCATTTGTTTTTAAGATAAGGTTTACAATTTTTTGAGGATGAAAAATACTGGTTTACAAACATAACCGTGTTTTTAATTTGACCATTTACTTTAGAAGGAAATACGAATAAATGTTTTTATGTATATGAATTCTTTAAAAAAAAATACAAGGTCCTTTGATATCTTGGTTTCCATTTGGCCTTTCAACTGTTTTAATTCTAGTGCTACTGGTGAATGTTATGTAGACATAACGCGCGTTCAAAATTATAGTCCTTAATATGTTTATTGCATGGAACTTACCAAACATAATAAACATAAAATACTGTTTAACAATTATTAGCTCCATAACATTTTTTTTATTTGCTTAAATAATTATCGACTCATTAAATCTTTATTTCTTTTCAATCGATTGAGACTCATTCCATTCGATATTTAAAAGTTGAATCTACTGGTGAATTTATGTATTTCACATGTTCTAGGGACGAAAACATACATTGGATTTACATTAGAGATACAAAAAGGTAGGTTATATCCTACGATTTGCTTTTATTGTTCAATTCTATCGTATATGATAAACAAATGTTTCGGATAAATTGAATACCATACTTTATCTCTAATATTTACTCTAAACGTAGTAAGAAAAACTTTTTTTGTTCGAAATATAAGACGAAAAATTTATATCTTTGAGTTAAACTTGTAAATAAATTTAAGTGATTTTTTTTCGTGAACTGTGTGATAAAAAATAACACAAATCTAAAAACGGATTTCCAATGTGTAACTGTAATCTATATTATAAAAAGTATATTGCAAATGTAAGGTTACTGGGAAAAAAATCATCGACCATGGAAAAATCAAAAGTGTAACAAATTCGAATTGAAAAACTTCTCGATTTACTCGGTACTGTGGTTCTTTTCATTATTCAGTAAATTCGCAAACACATGTGTGTTCCTTCATGTTGTCTACAGATTCATCTTTTTTCAATGTACACAATATAAGGCAATTTCTTAATAAAACTATTTTGATTATACATTCTAATACTTTTTTCATCTCTATTGTTTTACTGTTATCATATGTCAGATTCTAACAGTATAGGAAAAATACATGTACCAAAATTTTTTCAATTTCTATGAAGAATTTTCAAAATGATTGAGATACATTTGTTTTGTATATCTTGGTATTTAGCACCCAATCTTTTTTTAAATGACTATTGTCTCTTAAGCTACACACATCAGAACCAATATTTTCTTCGTTTTCAAGCCATACTTATAAAACAATAACAATTTCAAAAAAAAAACCCAATTAAGATATGCAGATACATAATCTTTCGATAGCATGGTATTGTTTTAGTAGCATCAATATTTATCATAAACTGTTCCCATTTTACTGCAACATATACACATTTCAACATAAAGGTATTTTTTATTTTCAAAAATTATGAATTCCTTCCTCACGGTATAAAACTTATTTATTTTCTGATTTGCGTAAGAGTATCTGTCTTTTTTTATTAACATATATTGATATTTATGAAAATAAGAAGATGTAGTATGATTGCCAATGAGACAACCATCCACCAGAGACCAAATGAGGTATAACAGATTTTAGTCTGTTAGCGGTTTTACTAAAAAGACAAATTTCAAATAAACGTCAACGTGCAAACAGAAATTGTTTACCCATATAGGTGTGGTCATCGGAATCAAAATATACAGGTAGAATTGTTTGTGTTCTAATAACATAGAATCTAGAATCGCAAGTATATGAATAAAAAATTAATACATGGTCTAATTCATATTGACTCGGTTATCATCCATCGACTCATATCAAAGCCATGGCTAGCGCATTATCTTGATAAGGGCATCTCTCGATAACCGGACCACAATAGAAAAGGGTATGCTATAAAACCAGGTATAATTCACCAATTTCGACATAATTATGTTATTTTGTTTTATGTTGTTGACATAGTTGTTTGTGTTTATAGGGATTAAGATTTTAAGACACTGTTGACTTCTGTACCCCAATTTTGGACATGTCTACCTATTATGTCTGTCTTGTTCACAAATAGTTGTCAAAATAATGGAATTTTATGGAATTGTCATACAAGTGAGGGGTTTAGCTAGCTTTAAAAACATGTTTTATCCACCATTTTCTGCATAAGGAAATGTTTGTATCAAGGCAGTAATATGACAACAGTTTACTGTTTTCCATTCGTTTGATCTGTTTGAGCTTTAGATTTGGCCATTTGATAAGTGACTTTCCGCTATGAATTTTCCTTGGAATTTGGTATTTTTGTTATTTTATTTTATGCATTAATCTGATTTTTTTATGTTACCAATATTCTAGTAAGTTTGTCTACATTAAAAGCTTTTGAATAAAGTGTCCAGGCTCCATTCCATATACAATTACAGGAATTTTTGCGCCTGTCCTAAGTCAGGAGCCTCTGTCCTTTAGTCTTGAATGTTTTTTTTTTTATTTTAGTTCATCTATATGTTTTGGACATTTTCACTGAACTAGTACACATTTTTGTTTAGGGGCCAGCTGAAACCCGCCTCCGTGTGCGGGATATTTTCGCTGTGTTATAGACCCATTGGTGGCCTTGGGCTGTTTTCTCCTCTTTAGTCGGGTTGTATTCTCTTTGACACATTCCCCATTTCCATACTCTATTTTATATTTGTTGAATTTGATGGTTGAATTTTCCGGCAGGTTGTCTGCATTCCTACGGGAACCAAATATGTGCATGTCCTGCAGACCTGTTCTTTTTTCTAATTCTCTTAATATTAAGTCAGATTCAATTAGACACAGCTATATCGTTTAATTTTACACTCATATATATAAAAAAGAATATGTGATATGATTGCTAATGAGACAACTCTTTACAAGAGACCAAATGACACAGAAATTAACAACTATAGGCCACCGTACGGCCTTCAACAATGAGCAAAGCCCATACCGCATAGTCAGCTATAAAAGGCACCGAAATGACAAATGTAAAATAATTCAAACGCGAAAACTAATGGCTTAATTAATGTACAAAAAAATGAACGAAAAACAAATATGTAACACAACAACAAACGACAACCACTGAATTACAGGCTCCTGACTTGGGACAGGCACATACATACAGAATGTGGCGGGGTTAAACATGTTAGATGGATCCCAACCCTCCCCCTAATCTGGGACAGTGGTGTAACAATATAACATAAGAACGAACTATAAAAATCAGTTGAAAAAGGCTTAACTCATCAATTGGATACAAATAGAAATATATCTAACAAAAACACAGAGTGGACGTGGCCGGGTACTTGTACATCCCAACAACAAAAAGACACTAAGTACAGATCTGAGAGTACTCGAAGTTACTGACAGCTATTTCAAAGCCAATAACAAAAAATCATGCATCTAAGACTAAACTAACAATGACGTCATAAACAGTCAGAGAAAAACACGACCTTGTGCAATGACAAGATACAGGTATCGACAGATTGTAGATCCATGAAAGTGCATATGTATATAACAATAATATGTAGTTTGCTTTTAATTTACTGATAATCAATATTAATACCAATAAAAACAATATCTAAAGATCTTATGACAGTGTTGAATTGGTAACCTTTTAGAATAAGTTTATCTAAAGGATCGATAAGTTTACCAGGATTGTTTCTCACTTTCCGGGCACGGTAAAAAACATCTCCGTAAAAATGAGGATGTGCTATCCCGTTTGAAATAAGTTTTCTACAGGTACAACCAAACTTCAAAACCAAATCTTTATATCCATGGAAGAATTTAGTAAAGGTTTTAAGTAATTTGTGGTAACGAAATCCCTGACTTAATAATTTACCAGTATTACATAGATTACGTTCATCAAAATATAAAACGTCACAACAGACACGGGCATAGCGAACGAGTTGTGAAATATAAATACCGTAAGATGGTGCCAAAGGAACATCACCATCCAAAAAAGGAAAATTATCAATAGGGAACGAAAAATTGTCCTGAGTTTGGTTATAAACTGTGATTCGTAACAGTACTAGTACAAACAAGTCTGCTATTAAAGGGGCGCAATTAGTGCCCATAAGAATACATAAAACCTGTCGAATAACTTTGTTGCCGAAACGAACATAAATATTATCAAGGAGAAAATTAACAGCTTCAATCATCACATCACACCTTCAGTAGGTATATCTGGCATATTTACCTTTCTCTTTAGAGAAGAAGGCTATAAACGAGTTTCAGCAAATGTATTTGCATTCAGATTTACCAAACGACCATTCAATTATAGTCATGATGTTCACTTCATTAACAATCCAAACTTTTCTTACTAATGGATTCCATTAATTTAACATCCAGAACACGATTTTAAAGAAACCACAGACACAGCTTTTTCCCCCTATTTTGATGTTTTTTTTTTTTTTTAGATAAATACATTAATTATTACTCCATTGGTCGTCTTAATACCACAGTATAAGACAAATGAGACGATTTTCATTTTGCAATCATATTTTTTCCCATCTTATCAGCAACATACTGACTTCATCCACTTATGGAGTATGAATTTCTCAATTCATACGATATTTAAGATGTTTCAGCTGCTAATCAGTCTTCGTAAAACGTCATCGGTGTCTCAGAAAAGGCGAATGAGCCAGTATTTTGTAAAAATAAAACGTTTCTGCATTTCTCACGGAGTTCATTGGAAGGTACTAAGATCCTATAGGTATATATTAAGTGTCAACTTCAAAAATAATACAAAATGGTCGTGAGTTATAGATCCTATGTACTTTTGTAGTTTTCCTTTTAGATAACCTTGAATGTCGTGTACCCTTGTTTTTATTAGCTACTTTTGACCATTAACTAAAGAGTTTGTGTATGTCAAACATATATATAAAATATACTATAATACTAATATATTTGCTATCGATTACAAACACTTTTTGTTGGCGTCTTTTCTAGATTTATGTGCAGCCCTTGGCGATTAATTATTTTTTTTCTTATAATCTAATTTTGCTGCTATATATAAATTAGTGTCACGTAAATAAACTTTGCCTGGTTGGGTTGCTCACATTGTTTTTATGAAACTGTAGTCAACTTCATCCAAGTAGGAGGTTTGGGTAACTGGTTTAACCCATCGTTTTATTCCGTAATGCATTTAACAATTCAGGAAAATACCAGTTGTTTCGTTGTCAGATATAGAAGAACGTTTCATTTGTCTTTTTGTATGAGCTTTCCCTTTTTTTGGATTTGACCTTTGTGTTCGTTATTGTATTATATTTTGGTATGATGTTTATATGGTTTTGTTTCCTCTTATAGTTGATGTGTTTCCCTCAGTTTTGGTTTGTGACCCGGATTTGTTTCAGTTAAATCGATTTATGACTATTGAACAGTGGTATATTACTATTGCCTTTATATATGGACAGATAAAATAGTAGTCAAACGCACAAGTAGAAAACACACTAACAATGCAATGGCAAAAAATATCAGTAAACAAAACATAACATAGAAAATTAAAAACAGAGCAAAACAAACCCCACCAAAAACCGAGGTTGGTCTCATTTGTTCCGGAAGGGGAAGAAAATCATGTTCCACATGTAGCATCCGTCGTGTTGCTTATATAAGTACGAATCCGATGATAAATCTTGTTCGGTAGGTCACATTCGAGGATAAAATTGGACAATATCTGTCTTCATCTGCGAAACATACATTCCTAACTGCTCAACCAATTCGTGATGGCGTTCTTAAACTTTTCGGATGGATAATATATAGACAATAACTGTTTAGTGTCTTTAAATATCAGCTGTATTTGTACGAAACTTTTACTCCTGTTTCGAGCCGAGTACAAATACAGCTGATATTTAAAGACACTCAACAGTTATTGTCTTTATCCTGCAATTGATTTTGTACATTGTTTTTGCTTTGAAAGACAGAAAAACTCACATTTATTGCATTTATTTTCGATTTAAAATATATTAGTTTCTGTTTATTTTAACTTTGATGCGTATTAATATAACATAAAATTCACACATTCTGATGGGTACGCCGTAAAGAATCTAGCATGGTCAATAATAATACATCGCTCAAAGTACATAATTATTTATTGTAACATAACAACTAATTTCAACAGTAAAAGCAAATAACAAAACATTGTCCAATTTCAAATAAAAGTGTATGATTTGTCCTACGCTTCAGAATTTTGAACTGAACGTGACATTCACTGAACTAGCTGAAATTGACGTTGTTACATGGTTGATTATGTGTGTTACACATAAAATTGAGAATGGAAATGGGGAATGTGTCAAAGAGACAACAACCCGACCACAGAACAGACAACAGCAGAAGGCCACCAACAGGTCTTCAATGCAGCGAGAAATTCCCGCACCCGGAGGCGTCCTTCAGCTGGCCCCTAAACAAATATATATACTAGTTCAGTGATAATGAACGCCATACTAAACTCCAAATTGTACACAAGAAACTAAAATTAAAAATAATACAAGACTAAAAAAGGCTAGAGGCTCCTGACTTGGGACAGGCGCAAAAATGTACACATTCCAGTTATGAATTTTAAGATTGGCGCCGTAGAAAATGAAGTTGATCCCGCTGTTCATGGTTTTCTGTTAACAGAAAATGGGTTTATTTCATATTGCTCTAAACAAATGCTTGAAAAAAAACAGAACCTAAATAAATCGATAGTTCACACAAGTTCAAGCAATACCTCATTGGACACATTCTGAGGTTACGGAGGTTCATACAACTCTCGTCAACAGCAGTACACAAACGTAGTCCGGCAGTGGGCGGAGCTTTAAAGCGATATCTGTATAGTATACAGATACAGGCTAGCGATATCTGTTGGGCTGTTAATGTATGATAAGACACCCAATTGCAGGATAAATAAATATATACATGTCACGAAAACGAAGTAAATGGCTTTTACCATTATACGTCAAATCTATATTTAATTTAATGTCATTTGCATTCCCTCAACTCAAAAACAGACATAAGTTAATATTTCAAAATAGCAAATTTTGGTAAAAGTATAGGCTAGAAAAGACCTTTTCGCCCCTTGTCCTTTAAAAGATCAAATAATTTCATACTTTGAGATATCTTATAAACTTTATTCAATTTCAAAAGTTTAAATTGTTGAATATTGTTCTTTTTACATTATGGAACAATGGTTCACTTATTGAACACAAAACCCAATCTTATTTTGTTTTACAATATAGAGATTTAAGTGGTTTGATAATCTTACAATGTAAAACATTTCTTTGTTAGAAAAATATATTGACACATATTGTAAAATACTTGTTGCAACTCAACATTGAAGAATTTAAAAGAAATAATTGAATGAGCATACACAAATGAATACCTGATAGCCAGTTTAATAAGATAACAGTTCATATCTTTGCATATAAAAACGTTTCTTTATCATAGATAAATTGGTATTAATTATTGATAATGATTTGTTATATTTGCCTATAATGCAATAATAATGTCAAACGGATGATGTTGATATGTTTTCCTTGGTTTTTTATGTGTCTTACAGACATTTGTATGTATATTCATAGCAATCTGCTTTGTATCCATCTGATGAGTTAAGGCCTTTTCAATTGATTTTTATAGTTTGTTCTTATGTTGTGCTGTACCACCACTGTCCCAGGTTTAAGATGGGTTGAGCGCTCACAAACACGTTTAACTATGCCACGTTCATTATGTGCTGTCCCAAGTCAAGAGCCTGTAGTTCAGTGGTTGTCGTTAGTTCATATCTGTCATGTTTGTTTTTCGTAAATTGTTCTATTATAAATTAGGCTATCTTTTCTCAGTTTAGGCCTTTTATAGCCGACTATACCGTATTAGTTTTTCTCATTGTTGAAGGCCGTATGGTTGCCTATCATTGCTTACATCAACTTCATCTGAATTGAGGTGGTTAGTTGTTTCATTGGCAATCATACCAAATCTCCATATTTTTATATTGCATGGTCGGTTGGATCTTTCCACAGTCACCTTGTGCCTTTGTTAAAAGAAGATATGTCCTCCAGCAGAGCTGTCAACCAGATTTTGATCTTTAAAAATGCATAAGAGTTCTTCGAATGTTTTAAAATGTTGATCTTATTTTTTCAAACAATGTCAAAACGTTTAACAACAATTGTTTTCGTTATAAAAAAAAATGACTATTTCTTTTCGTTAAACAATATACAACAACGTCTAAACTCAACAGAGACATTTCATTGCGGTCTAAAATATTTTTATCAAAGTAGCCGTCTGAACTATGAGTTATCAATAATGCCCTTTCTCGAATGTGTCACTTTCAGACTGAGATGTTCAATTTGTCGGTTTACCCATATTCCCTCGTTTAGGATATAATACGATGCCTTCAGATTTTGGTTTTAGCTGTCATTTTTGCATAACGTATGGATATATGAGATTTGAACATTGCTAAACTACTGTTACCTCAAATGTATGATAATTGTATTTGGAACAATTCGTCTGTGCTCACATCTACACTGATTTTAAGCGATTGAGGAAACTATAAAACCGAAGAAAACACATCAACTATAAGAGGAAAACAACGGAACATCAGATACACTGAACTGCTACAAAAAAACGCCAACATACATAGAAACGGTCTATTTGATAACAACTGGCATATTCCTGACTAATCTTGTTACAGGACATTTTTAGAAAAAATGGTGGGTTGAACCTGGTTTTATAGCTTGCAAAACCTCCCGCTTATATGGCAATGTTAAAAATACCGCTAACATGACAACATTACATGACAGGAATACAGTACAAATAAACGCAAGAACACTCAGGACAGAGAAATACATAAATAAATAACATAATACTACATTACAACATGTAATCCACAGAATAACAACGGACAAACTTCCATTAATTTACGACAGTACTCCAGTTCACCGCAATAAAATTATGAACTAAAATTATGAACTGTGCGTCACATGAATGTATCAACGCCACAAAAAGTGACGTCAAAGGTAAATTTCTAAAAATAGAATAAAAATTGGGATTGAGTTTGTAATGGTGTTACTTTATGTATTTTCTAACCATTACAAGAATAATAATATAGAATTGTGTTAGTAATGGTGTAATTATTTAACTTATACATAAGTCATAATTGCCTTTCTTCTAAAACGAATCGATTAGTATTGCTTGGCTATAAGTTTGTAAGTGTATAAACACAACGCATTACGAACATATAATTCCAAGTATCTATCGTGAAGTAAGAGTCTAACTAATTGGAACGGCTACATAATAAATTCATAATTGGAAAATAATTAATAGTTTAATCTATTTATTCAGCACGAAATGACAGAGTTGTTTTCCTATATAGGGTTAAAAATTAGAACATACATAATTTCACAAAATCTTGTTTATCTCAGAGATTTTGAAGAATTTAACTCAAATATGAAGTTTTATAAATATTTCATGAAGATTGAGAAAATCCTGGGCCTAAACTATGATGAGTCAGCATAAATTCACAGTTTACAGTACGCATTGTTTACTTAAAGACCTGAATTAAAAATAAATTCATAATATATGCCTATTTGTAATTTAAATTGTTTAGAAGTGCTTATATTTACTCTTCGCAGTCATTGCAACCCATTGATCCTTCTTAAATATTTTTGGTGGGGTGTTTTTGTCCTATCGATAACCCAAAAGTAAGCCGTAACACCTAAATGTGCTTTTTGTGACTGCGGCATAAAAAGTACAAGCTAGAATTACAATAAGACCCCAATAAAACTTACAATAGTGTGTTCTATCCTAAATATGTACCAAATATTCCACATCTCTAGAAACAGGGAAAAAAATTAGGAAATGTGAGGCCCCAGGGGCAAAAAACTGAGAAAAATGCCTCCCCCTGGTTCATAAAACAGATAATTTAACTTCTAAATGCTAGGATTTTATTATTTTAAAGGTCTTTTGTAAAGAAAACAATAACTGTGCTAGGAAGTTATGCAAAAATCAGATGTAAGCAGTCATTTCTATCAAACTTTTAATGAATTTATGCACCAGACTGATATCTTCATAAATACAACTTTTGCAAATATGGCTTTGTTTAAACACTTCTAGTTCATATATTAACTAACTTATGTTAGATATATGGTTAGGGATGATACTGTTGTAACATGAATTCTAAACTGACCATTTGAGGCAGAAATTGTGAACTTTCATTGACAAATAGGCATACAGTAAGTTGTGGACTGGAGACACAGGCAGGATTGGATACTTTGTATAATCTTGAATGTTGGAATGATTAACTACTAAACATTACATTTATAGTATTTTAAAATGCTTTCAATTTGTTATCAGAATAGTTTCAGACAGGTTTTAGACAGTTCATGTCAGAAAACATACACATAGGGTAAGCTGGCAGTAATTAAAGTCTTGTTTTCAAATTCTTTAAAAAATTAAAACAGTGGTAGGGGTATAAATGGTACTGTAAAAGGAAACTTAGAGTATATGCAGTGATTTCTGTAAGGCTATAATTCTGATAAATAAGTATTGTTGTGAGAAAAAGTGTTTTTAGAGAGTTTTCTATTTGAATAAATGTTTGTTTGGGTTGCACTTTGTAAATACAGCTGTTTCTCAAACCACGCCTCTTTTGGGGAGATATATAATATTCATAGATATGTTAATTTGTTAACGTACTGGTTCCCATTTATGATCTCTGTGTTTCATTTCATAGAGACATCACTTGGGAATGTATCCAGTATAGAAAAACATGGTAGCGCCTAAATTTTAATTCTTAGGAGGTCCAAAAATGGAGGTAAGGGTAGTATAGAATTTTAGTATAAGTTTAAACTCTTAGAAGTTCAGGGCATATAAATGTTGAAAATATGCCGCACAGCCCTATATTTTGACCTTTGAATAAAATAGTAGTGCATATAAACTTTCCGTTCTAGGATATTATTTTTCACGAAACTTCATAGTAAAAGTGTTACAGTTTTAGCCGCAAAGGGAGTTCCTATGGGAAATTGCATTGTCTATATTTACAGAATTGCAACCTCTAGTGGCAGACCAGCTACGGTGATACCAGAAGAAGCAGAAAACTATCTACGTATTGCTAACCTTTTAAAAAGAGTTGCACCTTCTACTATCCGGATACAATTTATCAACGAATTTCATCCTGGTGGATTAAAATCAGTTTTAAGTAAAAACAGATTAAACATCTTAGAACCCCAGAAAAGAAAGAGAATAATAAACCAAACGCAATGGGATTTGTTATTTCCAGTGACAGGTAAGCAGATAAAAATAATATACTATATTGAACAATAAAAACGAAAACCAAATTTAACCAGCTTCGTTTACTTACAGCTTAGAGCTTGAATGTAAGTTTCATTTATATGAATACGCATGTTTGATTGTAAGAAGAAATTAAGCATTTCTTTTGTTTACCATTACGGCAAATAAAAGTTACGCACAAAGCTGTTTATGATATGAAATTATACTTTTGATTTGTACAACAAAATTCCTATCATACCATATAAATAAAAATAACACAAACATCGACAACACCATGCTTAAATATATTTATTTGACACATGTAAACTACATACTATTAATTTATATAATCGTTTTTATCATTCTTAATTAAATAATGCTAGCAAATAACTATTAAAAAATATCAAAGGTTCTTAATGCAAGTAATAGTATTTCTAAATACTTCAAAACATATGATTCAATTTCTGTCTACATATAAATATATGTCTTTTACAGACAAATTATGAAAATTAAAATGTATTACCCATCATGCCCATTTTGAAATGATTTAAAATAAAACCAAAGAACTTAAAGTAAAAGTGATTGTTCAAGGGTGACAACAAACTCTAATCCGGCATGGTAAAAGATATGTTGATTTTGCAAACAAATGACACATTAAATGAATAAATCATAAAGGATCAAAATAACAAACAGTTCTACGCCAACAGGACGAGAACTGCTAACGAAAGATAACCGACACTAAATTATATTCTTTTTTTTTTTAATTATTTCAAACTTAATTCGAAAATGCATCAACTACTTCATGTTTTCATTGCTTCTTATTTCGTTGGTTACATAGTATAAACATTCTTTGATGTCACTATATGATTGAAGTTATCAAATTATTTTAGGAAATACCTCTTCCGAGTTTTATGATCTGACATTAATGATATGTCTGATGAAACATGTAATTGACATAGAGGTAGGCGATAATCTACCGTTTCCTATAGATCAAAATCTATCAAGGCTTAGATACTACAGAAACAATATCATGCACAGCGATGATGGTACTTTGTCATATTCAATTGTTAATGAGTGGTTGAAAGAAATAACTCAGGTAAGGTAATAACGTAAAATAATATACAAATGAAGTTGAAACAGTTACGTAATTTATAACGTTCGGCGGACGTATATTTCAACAAACAATATCAAACTGGATGACTTACATGTCATGTATGCATTCATGTAGAAGGTTTTCCATTTCGAAAACGTTTCATATTACCGGTCTCTAAATAAATAATACTTAAAGTATACCTTCTATAAAAATGCAAACATTACATTTAAGTCATTCAATTTGATTTATTGCTAAACTTTTGTGAATTGCCAAAAAATATATATATAGGGCAAACCGGTAACACGTGTCCACAAAGAACAAATCAAACATCCACAATATCGGAAAATTCCATTAAATGAACATTTGGATCGATGTGGAGAAGAAAAATGTAAAATAATACATTTCTATAATTGCAATAGAACAGGTGGTGCATTCCGGAAAGTGATGGAAGAATATTGTATTAAAACATTTAAGCCGACGTTAAATGCTAAACAAAAAGTAAAACATTAACAATGACATAACGTAATAAAACCTTTTCAACAACGTTAACGACCAACGTTATTAAAAAACCGCCTAAATCTTGAAAAGTCCCTTCAGATGGATGAAAATCGCTGTACAACTGACAATGTTTTAACTCACTTTCATTGGGTTTTTTTCATAAATATATAAAGCTGTGCATGTGACGTTTCTTCTTTCCTATATATCATATGTCTCATTCAGGGTATATAATGTTACATTCCCGGCTAAGGGTTTATATTCCTCCAGCCGTAGGCGAAATGGTAAAAACACTTTGCCGGGAATGTAGCATTATATTACGGATTACAAATGTGTCGAGTTTTGTGATTGGATAACAAAAAAGAGATGTCAGTATATATTCATGAAACTGCCGGGATATATACGACGTTTTTACCCCCAATTGGAGCCAAAACAACGTCATCATAACACCTGTTATTATGTGACGTAGTCTAAAGCTATACAGAACACTTAAAGAATGTCAGAGGGTCACAGAGAGAAAATAATGACGCGCATCCGCCAATAATACGTTTTAATTTAAAATCACGAAATTTACGCTCTAAATACTTAAAATTACTGTTTTAAAGTGTTTCATAGCGTCGCATAGTATCAATCGTTATGATGATGTTGTTGAGGTTCCAATTACGTTAAAAAAAAAGTCGTATATACCCCGTCAGTTTTCTGAGTAAATACATACTCAAATATTTGTGTGCTGTCGCAATCAAATCACTCGACACATTTGTTATCCATAATATATAAACATATAAGTCTGAAAATTTAACTCAACAGTTTAGAGTTAGATTTTTATGCTGACAATTGTTTTTTTTCCCTGAACGGGATTCGAACTCACACCTTTGATACACTACAGCACCAATCGCTTAGCCTCACGTCCAGCGATCAAACCACACGATCACATCCGCTATAAAAATATAACTTCAATAGTCGTAGTGTTACCTTGTCATGTAAGGCGAATCTAGAAATAGACAAAAGACATGTGTTTTAAGCGTGTGTAGATGTTATATTCTTTTGTTATATATATGAACTTATTGCGCATAGCTACTCTTTTCTACTCATATGAAACAGAATTTTCTAACAAAATCCTTAAATAAACAAGCTTCTTGCAAAGTTTCTTAAATGTTGTTATCATATATTTTAATGATATCATAAAGCGTAACAACCCACAATAAGTGAATCCTTGCATGTCATATATCCCAGTTAATTTGCCATAAAATACATTCTCATGAAATTAGATTTTATATCCTGATCTCTTCCTGGATTATTATACAAATGCCGGTTTTTAAGCTAGAATCTATGATAAACATTATGCTTTGAACTGAATCATCGTCAACTTACCATTTCCCTGCTGTAACATACACTCCGTCCCATCGTATGGCATGTACATCTCTAAATTGATACGTTTCAGCCGTACATGTTCAGATTATACGGATTGCATTAGCAGGGGTACGTACTCCTTACACAACAAAAAAATCTCCGACTGTGTTTTGAGAAATCGACACTACAATTAGTTTTACGGTCAGCAAATTGACCGACGAAAACCATAAGTCTGCGTCTCTTCCCACCGGCGAAATGCTTTTTGCAGTCCTATCAAAAGACCAGAATAAATGTAAAATCGTTGATTTTCAGATGATGTCCCTAGATTGTTGCATATTAACTGAGTGTTGATTCGCATGTCTAGTTATTCATACATATATACTCTTACCCTGTACCTGCACCTTGTTTTGCTAATTTATCAGGTCCCTCAGTTTTTGTATGCTGCAATGTTAAAATGATTTTCTTAATCAATTAATCGATTGAACATTGGTAAAAAGTAAAATCACAAAAATATTGAACTCCGAGAAAAATTCAAAACGGAAAGTCCCTAATCAAATGGCGAAATCAAAAGCTCAAACGCATCAAACGAATGGATAACAACTGTCATATTCCTGACTTAGTACAGGCATTTTCTTATGTAGACAATGGCGAATTGAACCTGGTTTTATAGCTAGCTAAACCTCTCACTTGTATGACATTATATTGACAACGATGTGTGAGCAAAACAAACAGACATAATAGGGAAATGTAAAATATAAACTACTGTTTCCTTTATTTATAATTATGAATCCGTCTGGATTGACATTTGTTTTCAACTGAGAAAAACAACCATTATCAAACAGATTCTACAAGGTTACAGAATATTCAACAACTTTATGTTTTTAACCAGAAACGAGATTAGATGCACATTTGGTTCAGTTTGTAAAGCATAAGCCATACGAGGCTAGCCGCAATTATAAGAAAATTTACTGTTGGTACACTCTATGAAAAATTCAGTTTTTAAGTTGTTATTTATCATTCAAGGCAATTATAAGACTTGGTGGCACTAGATTTGTCGAACTTTGCAATCATTTGAAAGAACGTCATCTGGATGCCAATGATAAGGAAATTATCACGGAGCTAAAGAACAGAAGTAGAAATTTAAACCCGTCCCAAAGGGTTTGAGGAGTAAGTTTTTTCAATTACTGCTTTGTAATAAGTATTTCTATCAAACCATTACCAAACGTTTCAGATAAAACTAAATACTAAATCATAAGGTTATGATCAAAACCTCTGAATATTAGGAATACACTCAATACAATCATAGATACCAGAGTTAAAAATTTGATACACCAGACGCGCGTTTTGTCTCCAAAAAACTAATCAGTGACGATAAAATAAAAAGTTATTGAAAAGGCAAAATAAAGTACGAAGTTGATGATCATAGGTTTCCCAAAATTCCGACATTTTTTTGCCTAATACAGCTAAGTTAATCTATTGCTGGGGTAGAAAATCTTTAATATTTCGAAAAATTCTAAAAGTTTTAAAAAATGGTATACCGTTGTAACAATTTGATACGCCTTGATATCTCCTCTTGCAAAGCTCTAATTCCTTGTTCGGAATTGGCTTTACTTTTGGTCATTTTTATTTTTTAGCTGTTAAACGTTTGCATTATGTTTTTGACTTTTAAATATCTCGGCCTGAACCATCAACGATGAGACACTGGCTGTCGAAATGCGCAGCTGGTGCAGTAAAATAAGTACCGTTCATGTTTTTATATATTCGTATATATATGACATTATTTAATCGTGCAATTTCAATGATAGTTTTTAAAGTATGACCATTGGATTGAGATCTGAAAATCATTTTATACGAGGGAAATGCTTTGCTCAATGTTTTCAGCTACTGTCCCAACCTGGTCTGATCTGTCGAAAATTAATTTATTTTTTGTAAAATTATAAAGGTAATTTGGTCCAATAATAATGCATGCTCAAATTTTTATCTTGTTCCAAATGCAAAATAACGCAATGGAATTCAAGTTTTATTTCTACAGTCTTTCATCAACAAACGTTCTACAACTCATGCTTGGAAAGTTAAAATGAATAGCATACAAAATTTTTTTTTTACCACATATAATTTATTGTACCATGAGTAAAATCCCATCTTACTCTACAAAGCCGAACTCTGCAAACTGTAGTAGAATAATGAAAACGAGACCTCATTGAGATTTTTTTTTACTCATTCAGTGTAATGTTTTAACGATTTCATTGAATCTATAGGGAAACATAATTTCATCTTTTCTCTGAAAAAATTTTCTATGTTTGAAGTAAACTTGTAGGAAATTGTTTTAGCAAATTCTTCATAATATAAAAATAATAAGAAGTTCTATAATTGCCAAAGAGATAACTATATACGAGAGACTAAATAATTAATGTAAGAAACATTAGATCATAGTAATCCCCTCAACAATGATCAACACCGATACTTTACAATAAGCTTAAAAAGACCCCGAAATGAAAAATGACAAACGATAAAGCAATGCACAGAACAATAATCGAAAACAAATATGATTGGTAGCGAGCAGCGACATCCACTGAATTCAGCCTACTGATTTAGAACAGGCACTTACGGAATGGGGGGCTACACATGTTTGCGCGCGCTTAATCATATCATAAACATTAAACAATGATGGAACAGCTCAACATAACAACAAACTAGAAAAGCCAGTTGAAAAAGGCTTGACTCATCAGATTTGTGCCGGCACTGATACACACACAGATCCTATAGAACCTGGTAAACGTTGACAATTTTATAACGTCTTTTTAAATTCGACCGTCGCTGTACTTACAATTCGACATTGACATCTGTCTACACCCCAAATCTCCTTTTTCGTTTATATTATTTTCTTTGGAAGCACTTAAAAGGCAGAGTCAATCTTTCACAATAACCACAAAGGAATTTTTTATATTTATATTTCTTATTATCAAGAACATGCAAAACCCAAGGCTGATGAGGCTTATAAGTAAAATTTAAAGAACCTAAAGTCAATTCAGATTTAAAGACTCTGTATAAATACTTTTAATTTGTACTGATCAGTTGGAACGCATTTTGGCATTTTTAATATAAATTGCGCAAAAAGTTTAAGGTCACTTCCATGTCATATTTCTATCATCAGTCGAATTTAAAAATGACATTTGTCTCTATTGCCATTTGCAATGAATACTTTTAACTATATCTGTACCAATTATAGTAAAATCAAGTATATTCTTACAAGGTCTCAGGACACTGAAGATGTGTACAAATAACGTTTAGTCTCATTATGGTGTAATGTAACACATCTTTATTAAACGCTCAAAAATATCTTTAATTCTTGACTGCAGGATCCTGCAATTCAGTGGTTGTACGGTTGATCTCCCGATCGTGCAAGACCCTCATGGATAGTCAATATCGTTAAAAAAAAACTCGTCGTTGCCGCATATATGCTCTAAATAAATAAGTAGATGTGGTATGAGTGCCACTGAGACAACTCTCTTTCAAAGTCACAATGTATAAAAAGTTAACAATTATAGGTCAAAGTACGGCCTTCAACACGAAGCCTTGGCTCACACCGAACAGTAAGGGATAAAGGGCCCCAACATGAAAAGTGTAAAACAATTCGAAATAAAAAGCCAACGGTCTAATCAATATAAAAATCGATAAATTTGTTTGTGTTTAATTATTCTAGCATATTTCGGGTTGATGTTTTTCTAGTTTAGATTGGTCCAAAGTTTGTGATGACGGGTCCTAGTTATCTCCGTATAGCGTTCAAGTTGTTCATTCATGTATATCTTTCTTCGAATCGATCAAATGAACACAACCATGTTCTGGCCCGACTTGTCTCTTTAGCCGTTCCAACTCGTCGATCTCTATAGACGGTCCTAGTTCAAATTGAAATAAAATAAAACAAAACTACATTTTATAGACTTCCGAGTTGTCCTTGGGCCGAGTTTTCTAGTACTTGGACCTGACTGTTTTTCGTTTTGAAGATAGGGATAGGTTTTAGTTAGGTGTTACTAGCGACACAATGCATAATTTGTATTCCAGAATAACGTCAAAATCTTACAGAATCTGGCGATATTTTTTGCGTTTTTTTTTTTTGCGAAATGGAAATCAGCTTTATAAAAGGTTAAAGTAATCCTTTTTTTCTGATAATAGTCAAAAGATTATTAACTTAATAGTTTTCAGAAGGTGTTACCGCTATTTACAAAACATTTACTTACAAAACAACTATACTATAATCATAATAGATAACCCATGTGGCTCTTGCGCTCGAGTAAAAATTTTGATTTCTACTTTTAGAGTTCCCATTTTTTTTTTCATTTGGGGAAGGATCATTTTCGAAAGTAAGGCGGGACATGCGTTAATCTTTATAACTATATTTTAACTTGAATGATTGTAACTTTATATTAAACACTAACATTATCATATATTCTTTTATAGAAATTTGCGAAGACACAGTAGGTGAATGGAAAAAAGAAAATGAAGCAGATACAAGAGCAATAAGACGATTAAATGAAATAATTGCAACACATAACGTAGCAGTAGCGGTTGGACCATCGGGATGCGGTAAATCTACTGCAATTCATTACATTGCCTTGCAATTGGCTTTGAAACACGAATATACCATAATTATTGTATACAACCCTGAAGATATAAGACAGTTTTACGATCCAGATTGTAAACAAGTTTTTTTGATAGATGATGTGTTTGGCATAGCTACATTCGATGAAAATAATGCAATGAAATGGTTAGAAATGTCCAATGACATCAAGAAAATTCTAAATTACAATCAAACAAAGCTGTTAGCTTCGTGCAGAACACACATATTTCAAAACCGAATAGCTAACACTATTGATGTTTTATCAGACTTTAGTTGTGACTTTATATCAGCCGATTATTGCTTAACCGAAGATAAAAGGGAATGCATTGCAAGTTTATATTTAACAAAAAAGGAAATAAGAGATCTCAAATCTTCAAATATTTTTCAAAATTTGACTTTTTTCCAGTTCTTTTTTGATATTATTCTAATCATAATTCGGGTTTTATAGTTATTTTTTTTTCAAATCCGATACCAGCCGTAGAGGATGAGCTGTATTTGCTTTTCACAGCATCTGATCAAATCACGTTTGCAACGTTATTTCTGTTTGTTGTCTTTAATAACTGTATTCAGGAAAATCTATTTATTGAAAAAATAAAGATCAAAGCAAAACTTGAAGACCTATCTGATAATTTTAACGTAAAATCAAAGTTCTCAGTTGAAATTGCAAAACTTGAAAAAAAAGATAAACGCTGCATACACATACATCCATGATAAGGTATTTGAGATTTTTGTGCATTTCTGTGGTATACATGTGTTTGACTTTATGCTGGAAGTAGCACACCAATGTGTCATACGTGATCGTTTTGTATTTAAAAGTTTACCGAGAGAAACCATCAAGCATGCAAATGTAGTGGAAATCGCGCTTGAAAAGGAAAACAAATAATTTTGAAAGATTGAAAAAAGATACAGAACAGGGTTTATTACAAATTGTTTTCTCAAATCCAAATTTGAATGACGCAGTATTTCGTTTTAATTTCATAACCCGTATTGTAAAGGATATAGTTGTTTCATTACCAGCTAAAACGGTATTTTCATTGTTAATGTCTATGATTGATCTCGGTTTTTGCGACATTGTATCTATTCTGTTGACAAAAGATATAGATTTAAATCAGATACATTGGGATGGCGAAACTGCTCTGTTTAAAGCTGCGTGTAAAGGATACACTGGTATCGTTGAACTACTGTTAAAAAAATATGCTGATCCAAATGTTCATGCTTGTTTCAATTTTTTAAATCACATTGAAAAGGTACATCCTGGTATTACTGTAAACGGTATCTATGATAAATGGCCCACTTTATCTGCGTATTCTCTCCCTTCGAACAAAATTGACTTTTGCACAAACGTATGTGTAATTAACTCCGAGCCATTAGCTTCAAAAATACCATGCGCCATCGGTCCATTTACTGTTAAAACATACCTGAAAGAGCTTGCCAGTAGGAAAAAGTCTCATTTTGAGCGATGTGAAACGTACAAAGTATCACCACTTCATATTGCTGCAAGTAAACGTTATACTGAAATTGTAAAATTATTATTGGAGCACAACGCTCAAACTGGTTTTTCGACTAAAAATCGGCTGATAGCTTCTCCCTTGCTTATAGCTTCAACTCAAGGTTACACAGATATTGTTAAATTGTTGTTACAGAAGAAAGCGTATACCAATAAACCAGAAATAAATTTTAACGAGAAAGAATACAGTCAGTCAAGTTTCGAGGCTTCTTTGCATATGGCTGTTGAGAAGGGTTATTATGAAATTTTAGAATTACTGCTTAATCATAATGTTGATTATTTTCCATACGACGAAAATTTACGAATGAGTACGTCACATACTAATTTCAATATGAAGTTTTATTTAAATATGCTTTCAATTGCAGCTTCTAATGGTCATTATAGAATACTAAAATTGCTTTTAGAACAAAATTCTGCCTCAAATTTGTGCGATGAACATTATGTGTTGCTGCTATTTAAATCAATAGATGACGGAAACAAAGAAATTGTACAATTGATAATAGAACATAATTTTAATCTTAATATATGTTATGAAATCAACGAATCACCTTTGTGTAGGGCTACATCTCTAGGTCATTATGAGATAGTAAAATTGTTGTTAAAACACGATTTTGATTCTTATATTTGTAAAAATGATTATAAATCACCTCTCCACATAGCTGCATTAAAGGATCACACTCAGATTGTAATATTACTGCTTGAAAATAACAATAATCCTAACATACTATATCAGGACGGACAATCAGCCTTGCATATTGCAACGCATAAAAGTCATTTAGAGAGAGCAAAAATATTGTTGCAACATAAATGTGATCCTAATGTATGTGACAAAGAGAAAGAATCACCATTGTTTATCGCTTCACAAAGTGGTAGTACTAATATTGTAAAATTATTGTTGGATAATGATTGTGATCCCAATGTATGTAATAAACACAATCAGTCACCTCTGTTTATGGCATCTCTGAGGGGTTATATTGAGATTGTCAAGTTATTGTTGAATCATAATTCCGATCTTAATATATGTAATGAATACAGTGAATCGCCTTTGTTTGCCACATCACGGCGAGGTCGAGCTGATATCTTAAAGTTATTGTTAGATCATAATTCTGTTCCTCATTTATATAATAGATACAATGATTCACCCCTGTCTATTGCTTCGTTTTGGGGTTATACTGAGATTGTTAACTTATTGTTATGTTATAATAGTGATACTCAAATGTATAAGGGATGTGCTAAATTTTCTCTGTTTACGGCTTTACAGTGCGGTCATACAGAGATTGTAAAATTATTGTTAGAAAATAATTGCGATCCTGATGAATGTAATAAATACCAAGAATCTCCCCTATTTGTTGCTTCATTTCTGTGTCATACTGAAATTGTAAAATTATTGTTTGATTATAATTGTGATCCTCATGTGTGTAATGTAAACAATGAATCCCCACTTTTTACTGCGTCGAGATGGGGATTTACTCAGATTGTTGAATTATTGTTAGATCATAGGAGTCGTCCTAATCTATGTAATAGAGACAATGAATCGCCTTTGTTTGCCGCTTCGTGTAAAGGTTATATTGATACTGTAAAATTGTTGTTAGATCATAATAGTGATGCTAATATTTGTAATAGAGACAAGAAATCACCTCTGTTTGCCGCTTGTTTTCAAGGTCACACTGAAGTTGTAAAATTATTGTTAGATTATAATAGTGATGTTAATATTTGTAATAAGGACAAAAAATCACCTCTGTTTGCCGCTTGTTTTCAAGGTCACACTGAAGTTGTAAAATTATTGTTAGATCATAATTGTGAGCCTAATATATGTAATAAAGACAATGAATCTCCTTTGTTTATCGCATCATACTATGGTCAAACTGATGTTGTCAATTTATTGTTAGATCAAAATAGTGATGTTAATATTTGTAATAAAGACAATAAATCACCTCTGTAAATCGCTTCCTCTTACGGTCATACAGAAATTGTAAAATTATTGATAGATCACAATTGTGATCCTGATATATGTAATAAAGACAATAAATCACCCCTGTTGGCCGCTTTTTTTGAAGGTCATATTGAAACTGTAAAAGTATTGTTAGAGCATAATTGTGATCCTAATGTATGTAATAATGACAATGAATCTCCTCTGTTTATCGCATCATACTATGGTCAAACTGATACAGTAAAATTATTTTTAGAACATAATAGTGATGCTAATATATGTAATAAAGGCAATAGTTCTCCTCTGTTGGTCGCTTCCTTATACGGTCATACTGAAATTGTAAAACTATTGTTAGATTACAATTGTGATCCTCATATATGTAATTAAGACAATAAAACACCCCTGATGGCCGCTTTTTTTCAAGGTCATATTGAAATTGTAAAGCTATTGTTAGATCATAAGTGTGATCCTAACGCATGTTATAAAGACAATGAATCTCCTCTGTTTGTAGCTTGTTCATCAAATCGTTGTAAAACTGATACTGTAAAATTATTGTTAAATTATGAAAGTGATCCTAATAGATATAATAAAGACAACGAATCACCTATGATTGTCGCATCATACTATGGTCATTCTATGGTTGTGAAGTTATTGTTATATTATAATAGTGACGCTAATATATGTAATAAAGACAATGAATCTCCTCTTTTCGTCGCTTCCTCTGTCGGTAATACTGAAACTGTAAAATTATTGTTAGATCATGATAGTGATGCTAATATCCGTAATAAAGACAATAAATCTCCTCTGTTTGTCGCTTCCTCTTATGGTCGTACTGAAATTGTTAAATTATTGTTAGATCATAAAAGTGATCCTAATATATGTAATAAAGACAATAAATCTCCTCTGTGTGTCGCATGTGCATCATATCGCTGTAATATTGAAATAGTAAAATTATTGTTAGATCATAATGGTGATCCTAATATATGTAATATAGACAATAAATCTCCTCTGTTTGTCGCATGTGCATCATATCGCTGTTATACTGATACTGTCAAATTATTGTCAGATCATAAAAGTGATCCTTATATATGTAATAAAGACAATGAATCTCCTCTGTTTGTAACATGTGCATCAATTCGTTGTAATACTGATGCTGTAGAATTATCGTTGTTAGATGATGATTATTATATTCTTATGAATAATGAAGACACTTCTTTTCAAAATCATATTGAAATTATAAAATTATTGTTAGATCACAATTATGATCCTAATATTTGTAAAAAAGATAATAGATCTCCTTTGTTGGTCGCTTCCTGTGATGATCATTCCGAAATTGTAAAATTATTGTTGGATCATAATAGTGATCCTAACCAATGTAATAAAGATAATAAATCACCTCTGTTTGTCGCATCATACTATGGTCAAACTGAGGTTGTGAAGTTATTGTTTGATTATAATAGTGATGCTAATATTTGTGATGAAGACAATGTATCACCTCTGTTGGTTGCTTCCTTTGGTGGTCATACCGAAATTGTAAAATTATTTTTAAATTATAATAGTGATCCTTATATATGGGATAAACTCAAAAAAACAACTTTGTTGGTCGCTTTATTTCAAGGTCATATTGAAATTGTAAAATTATTGTTAGATCATAATTGTGATCCTAATATGTATAATAAAGACAATAAAACTCCTCTGTTTGTCGCTTGTGCATCATATTGCTGTAATATTGATACTGTAAAATTATTGTTAGATCATAAAAGTGATCCTTATATATGTAATAAAGACAATGAATCTCTTCTGTTTGTAGCATCATACTATGGTCATTCTATGGTCGTGAAGTTATTGTTAGATCATAATGGTGATCCTAATATATGTAATATAGACAATAAATCTCCTCTGTTTGTCGCATGTGCATCATATCGCTGTAATACTGATACTGTCAAATTATTGTCAGATCATAAAAGTGATCCTTATATATGTAATAAAGACAATGAATCTCCTCTGTTTGTAACATGTGCATCGATTCGTTGTAATACTGATGCTGTAGAATTATCGTTGTTAGATGATGATTCTTATATTCTTATGAATAATGAAGACACTTCTTTTCAAAATCATATTGAAATTATAAAATTATTGTTAGATCACAATTGTGATCCTAATATTTGTAAAAAAGATAATAGATCTCCTTTGTTGGTCGCTTCCTGTGGTGGTCATTCCGGAATTGTAAAATTATTGTTGGATCATAATAGTGATCCTAACATATCACTACAAACCAGTAAAAGTCTGAAATGGCCTATATCTGTACTCGACTGTACTGATTTTTACTCGACCAGTCTGAATTGGTCTGAATTTTACTCGACATTACTCGACCCCTTACATTACTTAACCATACTCGACCGTACTGATTTGTACTTGACCCTTATCTTTGCCATTGAAAATAGTCTGAAACAGTCTTAACCCATTCTCGACCTGTACCCGACCAATTTTTTCATTTTAAACCATACTCGACCAAAGGTCTGAACAATACTCGACCAGTCTGAACCATACTTGAACAAAAAACCTATCCTTTTTTTTAATTTTAGCTGTTAAAATTAGTTTCTTTTTTATTGACGTGACAACAGCCACAATAAAATAAAGATATATATAAAAACATATTTTTACATCCTTACATGATTCTCAAATTTATCAAATAGAGATAGTTAAACTAAATTATCTTATATGATAATTTAATTATATTGATTTTAAAGTTTTAGAGTTTTGTTAAAAAAAAGGTTTTCTTTTAACTAAAAACCACACCTTTACTGAGGGTAATAAAACCTTATTAAGGTGCTTCTTGTTTGGCATGTGTTTTTTTTTTTTTTTTTTTAACTTAATTTTCCTAAATTCCTAAAGAAAAACTATATAGGTTTCATGGTTACATACAATAGTTATATAATTATCTTTTTAATGAGGTAACAACAGCCAAAAAATCACTGAAATTGTTTAACCTTTTATTAGAAATATATCTATTCTTATTATAATTTGGGGTATTATATATAATATATATCAAAAAGGGATAAAAAAATTAAAGAAATAGATAAAATTTTTCTTCTGACTAGTGGTAAAGTAGAAAGTAATATCTCCTGCTTTGGGCAAACTCATTAAAAAGATCACACCTGGTCAGAGAGTATTAATTTCTTATTAACATTCATTAAAAATTGCAACATCCTGTAAAACTTAAATCGCAAGGCCTTTTGAATTCACTAGATAAGTAATACACGAGTTTAAGAAAAAAAGGGCTTTCTTTTTACCTGTAAACCACACATGTACTGAGGTAAATAAACCTTATTAAAGTGCTTCTTGTATGCCATGTCTTTAATTTTGACAAAAGTTATTTAAATTTAATTGAAATAAATTTTTTATGCAACTTTGGAACACATTTCCTTTTTTAAATGGTTATCAAGGATTGCTACGGAAGTTCTATTATCATGATTATATTAAATTCTTGGTTTTACAAAACAAAGGTGTGATTTTTAAAATTTATTAAGTTGCTTTATATACTATTTTAAATATATTTTAATAAAAAAAAAATGTTCACTGCATTATTAACTAAACTCAACTGACACCATAAATCTATACAAGGCTTAAGTAAATGGTGAAAATTGTCCAGTAACCATATAATATATCTGAAACATTCAAAAAAATTTGAATAACATTGAAAATATAAGTCACAATTCAGTTTTGAGATTATTTGATCAGCTTGTTTTATTTTTATTTTAAAGGTGATATATATAAGTAAGCGTTGATAAATATGGTGTTGAATTTATATTATGTTTATTGTGAAATTTTGGTTTCAATGCCATATTGGTTACATTTTGAATTTCAAATTGTTGTTCAAATTTCTAGCCAGGGAAAATAACTGTTAAAAACAGTTCCTAAATTGATAAAATACAATAGATAGATACAAAAATTAGGTCTAGGTTGGTTAAGACTGAGTCGAGAATGGTTCAGACTAGGTCGAGTATGGTTCAGACTAGGTCGAGCATGGTTCAGACGAAAATAAAATGGTTAAGTACTGGTCGAGTAAAGGTCGAGTACAAGTTCAGACTGTTAAGTATGGTTCAGACTACAGTCGAGTATTATCAAGTAAATTTCAGACCAATTCAGACTGGTCGAGTAAAAATCAGTACAGTCGAGTACAAATATAGGCCATTTCAGACTTTAACTGGTTTGTAGTGTATGTAATAAAGATAATAAATCACCTCTGTTTGTCGCATCATACTATGGTCAAACTGAGGTTGTGAAGTTATTGTTAAATTATAATAGTAATGCTAATATTTGTGATGAAAACAATGTATCACCTCTGTATGTCGCTTCCTCTGGTGGTCATACCGAAATTGTAAAATTATTATTAGATTATAATAGTGATCCTTATATATTTGATAAACTCAAATAAAGATAATGAGTCTCCTCTTCAAGCTGCTATACGTAGAAACCATACTGAAATTGTTCGTTTATTAAACAAATACCATTTTGTCGATATTTGTCATGATGCCACTTCCTAATCGTTCTCAACTTACGAAGGTCAAATATTGAAAAACATTTGTAATTGTATCACTCAAGGGATGAGGTATGACAAGACCCATTAAGGCCCATGACATTTCAATTTTTTATCTAATCATTTAAGGAAGTATGTTCATTTATATGATATAAAACGATGCTAGACAGGCTTATGTCTTATGAATATCTGAAGTATGTCACTTGGCAGTTTTGTAAAAAGAAAATGATTTACGAATGAAGGGACCAAAAAAAGAGTCATTATCTTATCTGTTTTTTGGAATATGCAATAGTATTTGTTTGTTGTTTAATGTTTATGTTTATTTCTTTAATAAATGTTTGAATTATAGTGTAATTTGTTTTGCCACAATCAGCCTTTCCCTGTTTCTCTAAACTTTTGATTATAACCTTTAATTAATGTCTTCATTATCATATATCGTCAAGACTGGCAGTGCTTTGAAAAAAAAACAGTTAAAAATAATTAAATGTCTCACATGCAAATAAGAAAACGTATACCAAAAAAAAAGACAATATACAAATAAGAATGATATATATCTAAGAAAATTCTATTTCGACTCTTCAAAATTCAAGAGTCTTTCCTAAATTGAGGTAAATTATATGGCCTTTCAAATACTGTTTCGATTCCTAACATCACTGAATAGACATTAATTGTCGAAATCCGGATATGGTGTACAAATTTTTGTACCTTATGTTTGCGTAATACCATCTTTTCCGCAAGTTTATTGTTTTCTGTTTGGTATTAAATTAATAATAAAGATCCCATTTTGTTACATCTTGTGATCCGTTTATTTGGCAGTCAGCAGGGTTAAAGAACATCAGTTGTTCGACCTGCTAGTCAAATGCGTTTTGTTTAAGTATACTTTTTCTCTTTTTTGGTCTTTTGGAAAATGTTGTTTGTGTTATATTTAGACCCCTCTAACAGGAAATTTGTTTTGCATACACACGTATAAAATATGCGGTTTTCATACAAAGCAATCATAGGTTTGAACGTTGTTTTCAATTTAGATTTATCTATGAAAATATATATAAAAAAAAAGAATTTGTATACGTCAATGAGACAGCTTCCACCTACACAAGAAGCAGACGACTATTATAAGTTATATGGTTCGCTACTGACCCCCTACAGATCCATAGAGGGTTGTTAAAATCCATAGGGGGTAAGGCAGAACGCCGAATCTCCTATGGATTTTACTCACCCTCTATAGTCCGTAGGAGTCAGTATTGAACCGTATAACGAATTTATCACACGTGGGACTTTTCCTGCTGCGTTTTGTTAAAAAAATAAACAATGAAATCCAACAACATCAATGGATGACGTCAACATTAACAGTAGACGTGACGTCATGACAGTTGGAAAGCAGGTCACGGTTTGACCCCAAGTCTATCAGCAACAATGGAGGTCACGTTACCGTGAAAATTCAGTAAAACTACGGATGAGACAAACCTCATTTTACTCACTAAAATACCACTGCCGTGATAAATACTTATAGTTCCAAATAATCTTGAATATACATAGTTTTAACTCGTCAAAACTTACACATCAACTCAAAGTCCTTTATTCTTTATTTTATCTTCCAACTTGAAGTTTGTGTGAAAATTGTCAAGTGTCCTGATCGAAAAATCTAAATATTTCGAGGAAACTAAAAATGATGAATTTAATTTTAATAAAGCATCTCATTAAGACAAACACTCGATATGAATATCTAGTGTATGAATGTGGTTTTAATTTGATAGATGCTTTTGTGCTTTTTTGTAAATGATTGTTTGTTTTGATATTGTAACACAGTGATGACTGCTGTACCAATATTTTGACTATTTTATTTATTATGTCTGTTTTGTTCACGCATCGTTGTAAATATAACGGAATTTGATGAGACTGTCGTACAAGTGAGAGGTTTAGTGCTATTAAACCAGGTTCAATCCACCATTTTCTACATTTGAAAATGCCTGTACCAAGTCAGGAATATGACAGTTGTTGTCCATTCGTTTGATGTGTTCTGTCATTTGATTTTGCCATGTGATTAGGGACTTTCCGATTGAATTTTCCTCGGAGTTCAGTAATTTTGTGATTTTACTTTTTAGGCAATAGAGTTTTGGATACGCAAACGTCAAGTTATTTTCGACACGAAGCGGTGGTTTTTGGCCGTTTTTTGCCGATTTGTGCAAGTGGTTATCTCCCCTTGATATCATCAGTCAAAAATAAAAACCCAGCAAAATGAATAAAAAGGACTTTACTTTACAGTACAAAAATAAGGAAGAAACTGAATAGAACTCGATTTACAACTATGTTATTATAATATTAAGAAGAGATACTTCCCTACTTTTCAGAGAAGGATTAGATGTAAAAATTAAAAGACAATAATGAGTAAAAATTAGGAAATGTAACCCTAATTTTTTTTAGTTATATTGATATAAATTAAATCTGTCTGGTGAAATTTACTTTGTAATTTTTATAATGGCATATGGGATTACTCCTAGTAGAAAGTTTTTGAGACACTTCTAATAATGTTTAATTCATTTTCATATTTATACAATTTGAATAATCTTTCTGAAAATGAAAATAATAATTGCTAGTACTGATCATTTATATTAATTTTTATATTCTATAAAGTGGTACCAAGAGTCACACAATAAGTTTAATCAAAGTACAAAAGCCTTTAAACTCAAGCTATGTTTCTCAATTGAACATTACAGTACTGCCTAGAAAAAAACCTCCAGAAAAAGGATAAGTTTACCAAAAAATATTGACAGAAATTCCGTAAAAAATAATACTTCAAATTATAAGTAAAAGTGACATAATTTTGGATTTTAAAATCATTATCATTGCAAAATTCAATTATTAGATTAGCTAGCACAGCTTGTAGCCCTTGCCTAATATCTCAGGGTATTTTATAAATTATAGATTATGAAAGTAAACTTTTTGAAATAAAATGGGGCTTCTACTCTTCAGGTTGCTTTTCAGCTGGTATACATAATTATAAACAAAGTATTGTTTATTTTATCTTAATAATTTGATATTTATATCACAAATGATGTTGTCTGGACAAATCTTGTGCATTTCACTTAATGATCAACGGATTGTTAAATTTGACAAGAATTTGCAATTTGAATAAATACAATCTTGTAAGAAAATATCACTACATGTATGAATTAACTTCTTGTTTGACTTGATAATCTAGTCTTTGCTCTTATTAATGTAATTAGCTTACTTAGTAAAGAGATAACTAAATAAGCAAGGTTTACTTTGAAATGGAGGTATCGTAATATGGAATTGCGAAAAACAAAAATTTTCAATCACAATTTCATCCATATCTTTAATAAAATCAGTGTTTTAGAGTACTTTGGAAACAGGTACAATGAAAAGAGGTTGAACTTCAGTCTTCAATCTGTTTTGAACTAGAAACGCAGTCAAAACCAGGTTCAAATTGACATGACCATGATGACTGGTGGTCACTAAAGTTGATGTATTACAGTAAAAAATGATGGCTTCAAAATTGTGTTGAAATTTGAAATAGGTTACTCGGTTTCATTTAATGAATGGCTATTATTTATTTTGAATGTATTGAACCATGAAATAATTTTTTTATTCTTCACATTTTACATAATCCGCTTGGGGGATTATTCAATGTGAAGAGTCAAAAATTAATTAAAAAAACCAAAAAGCGATAGAAGGGTTGCAATTATCCTCAACTGATCCATCAATTTCGTAAAATATATGCTTAATACAGTATAATTCGTATTATTATATTAACTACCAATTGTTAACCAAACAAGTATAAACAAATACCTCAGAATATATGTTTTAATAAAGAATTATACAGATGAAAATTTCTTAAAATCTTAAAAATTTCACACCAATTCAGTTCTCATTTACAAAAGAGGCGGAAGATACCAAGATGAATTTAAATTCATAATTCGAAGCGGAACTTGCAACGCCATGGGAAAAGACAACAACGAGCTGTGCCATGAGCGCATATACGTCTATCGCTATTTCAACGAATAAAGTTCCATAACTCCTCAATTTCTTATCAGAAATTTATAAAAAAAAACTTAAGGGAGGTTATTTTAATAGATATGAACCAGTCTCCAAAGTTTTATGAAAACTGCTCAAAGCACTTTTGAGTTATTGTCCGAAAACTGGAAGATCCCTACTTTTTATAGATAAAATCCCATATCTCGGAAACGTAAAATTTAAAATAATCGAAAAGGAGCTGAAGTCAAAGATATAAACAATTCACCACAGTTTCATGCAAATTGGTTAAAGCGTGTTCTAGTTATTGTCCGACATTTTGACGACGGACGGATAGATGGACTGACAGACAGACGGATGAACAGACGGACAGACAGACAGACGGATGGATGGACGGACGGACGGACGGACGGACGGACGACGGTATACCATAATACATCTCGTAAACGAGCGTATAAAAAACGACGGAATAAAAACCAAACAAGTTCAAAAATTCTTCATAGAAAATGAAAGACTGAGCAACACGAATCCCGACAAAAAAGGAATCAACCAAAGATGCTCCAGAAGGAGAGGCAGTAATAACTCTACGTATAACACCCGTCGTGTTACTTTTAAAAATATGTTGATAAGTTATGTCAAGTAACCAGGCATCAAGCAATAGCTGAAACTAGCAAAATGCCTTTCGTTTTTGTTTCACTCCTGAATTTAAAAACTAAAAATCGTTGGTTGTTTCCATAATGAAGAGTCTATATAATCATATACCACCAAGTCTTTGGTGGGATTCATATTGCTCAGTCTTAAGTTTTCTATACTGTGTTTTGAAGCCTGTTGTTAGTCTTTTCTTCGCCTTTTCGTTTTTGCCATAGTATTGTCCGTTTGTCATCGACTTATGAGTTTAAATATCCCTTCGATATTTTCCGCCTCTCTTTTAAAACATTTTCCAACAATTTTCATAAAATTCTAAATGCTGTTCGGTGCTACATACTGTTCTAAAATTGCAAATATTACAGCAGTTGTATAAACTCAGTGAAAGGATATGAATTTAACACTTGCAACAGATTTGCAAGGATCAATGTGTTACTTGGTTACATAATGACAATAACACTTGGTATACAGGTATACAGGCATTTGCACCTGTCCTAAGTCAGGAATCTGATTACAGTAGTTGTCGTCTGTTTATGTAGTTCATACGTGTTTCTCGTTTCTCGTTTTTTATATAGATTAGACCGTTGGTTTTTCCGTTTGAATGGTTTTACACTAGTAATTTTTTGTGGCCCTTTACATCTTGCTGTTCGGTGTGAGCCAATGCTCCGTGTTGAAGGCCGTACCTTGACCTATAATGGTTGACTTTTATAAAT